TTGTGTAAGAAAGTCTTATAAAAAGACTAATTTTACTTTGAATCTGTAATCAATAAACGTGTAATAGATTTAGCAATGAAGAAATCAACTTTCACCGCAAACAACGGTTGACCGCCGCTTAATTTAAACGGTCATCTAGTACAAAATTTCAGCGCCGATTTCACACGTTCTCAGCGCAGTTCTGTTTCCAGGTTTTGGGGGATTGTGTATGGGTTCAAACAGCTATGATTTTCTATTTAAACCTATACTCTTCTTCTTCCTCATTGTCCCAGCTCTTTCAAAATATTTCAGAGAACGTTTTTACAGAGCTTAATTTTTAAACCTGTTTCTTTCTGAGTTTTTGTGTTTCGCATCCCAGCTTCAGTGTGATATTCTCTTTGCCATAGGGACATTGTAAAGAGAGGGGTTTTACACCAATTTCTACTATTTTGAGAGCTTGATCTTGTAGAGATCAATTGTGTGGGAGTGTGATCTAGTGAGATCAACTGTGTAGTGTGAGATCGTGAGGGGATCGCTGTGTAGAAGAAGTTTCGGCTTCCAAACCGGGTTGTGTAGTAGATTTCTCCTCGAGAGTGGGGAGCGGGGACGTAGGTCAGCGGACCGAACCTCGTTAACACATCGCGCGTCACAGGATAACGATTCCTAACTCTATCTCCTCTATATTGATTGCTTTTGGATATTGTGTTTTGCTTGTCTTATTTTTATTGCACAATTATAGCCTTGTGACCCTAATCCCCCCCCCCCCCTCTAGGGTCCAACATTATATTCAGCTCTTTCTTAAAAGAAAATAAGAAGTAAAGATTTATATTAACTTTGAAGAAAACTGTATAAATTTGGCCATTTCAACCCAAATTAAGCTTAGAAGAGGGGAAGTTTGTTGGAAATTTTAGCCTCCCGCCTACTACGATCTCCGTAACTCAGAAGCCAACGCACAATCAATAAGATATAAAATAACCACAATCAAGAAGAAAGAACACAAGGATTTATGTGGATCAGTCGACCAATTTCGACCTATGTCCACGGGCAACAATACGAGAAATCTACTATGTATCAGGGAGAACTTCAAGAGGAACCACTCAATTCTCGTCTCTCAATCTCTCAACCTCACATACATAATCAACTCTCATATTATCTCTAAAGCCCTCTCCTTACAATCTTTTGAACAGACAAAGACTGCGAAACCCTCTCCTAATGATGTAATATTTTATATGGACAAAGATTACGAAACTCTCGCCTCTCGCACAATATTCTTGAATTAGGTTACGCCCTCTACTAATCCTAAATTACAAGAATATTGGCTCTCTCTCATCTGCTTGGTTTTTCCTCTAACAATAAAAGAATATATATAGGGAAACCAAAAACCCTATTTCTAGCCTTACTTCCTAATTAGAATAGGATTCAAACTCCTAATCGTGATTAGACTCAATTTCCTAATTATGATATATCTCTAACCTATCTAATTTTTATAAAGTTATACAAAGAATCAAAGACACAATCCTAACAATCTTCATATTGGATTTGATTTCCAAACAACCTTGAATATATATCATCGTCGTCTTGAAACTTTGTCTCTCCTGCTAGAGTCTTTTATTTCTTTCACACTTCAAATTGAAGCACCTGTACTTTAACTGGATGACCCATGAACCTCACTTCATCTGTCGCACTGTGGCACCTCCACCTCTCTTGTGCGTACCAGGAGATCTTCACCACCTCTGACATTAGAAGCAAATCAAGAATGCTTCTCCTCCCAAACTGAACTTGACAGTAGCCTTCCCCCACTTGCTGTTCTCGTACTCCACCTACATCGCTTGTCTCGAATCATATCGGTTCACCTCTCCTACTCCATACTACAAGCCAGATGTCTCTGTCTCCTCCATTTCTTAGCTTGAACGTAATATGAGCACTCATCGTCTTCAAGTCCAATGCCACCATCTTCATCAGCATGGGTGTCACTCAATCGTGCCTGCTTGCAAGCTCTACTTAATCTAGTGCTGTCCTCCTCGAGTCTACACACCAACAAACTCCTGCAGGCAATAGTCGTTCCTTCCTTTTTTTCTTTTTCTTCATCTTGATTCTTGTAACACTGATCTTCCATCTTGCACGACGTTGTCTTCTATCTTACGAACTCGCTCCCGGATCCATCATCATGGCTTTGATACCACTTGTTGAGGAAATTTAGTCTCCCGCCTACTACGATCTCTGCAACTCGGAAGCCAACCCACAATCAAAAAGATATAAAATAACCATAATCAAGAAGAAAGAACACTGAGATTTACGTGGTTCAGTCAACCATCTCCGACCTACATCCACGGGCAACAATATGATAAATCCACTATGTATCAGGAAGAACTACAAGAGGAACCACTTAACTCTCGTCTCTCAATCTCTCAACCTCACATACATAATCAACTCTCATATTAGCTCCAAAGCCCTCTCCTTACAATCTTTTTAACGGACAAAGACTGTGAAACCCTCTCCCAATGATGTAATCTTTTACACGGACAACGATTACGAAACTCTCGCCTCTCGCACAATATTCTTGAATCAGGTTACGCCCAAATTACAATAATATTGGCTCTCTCTCATATGCTTAGTTTTTCCTCCAACAATAGAAGAATACATATATAGGGAAGCCAAAACACTATTTCTAGCCTAACTTCCTAATTATAATAGGATTTAAACTCCTAATCATGATGAGACTCAATCTCCTAATCATGATACAGGGCCGGCCCCGAGGTTTGGGTTGTCCTAGCCCAATCCAATTTTGTTTGCCCCTTATATTAAAAATTTGGTACGAACACTAACGATAAAAATGAATACATATGATACCATTTAGCGTTATATATTGGGCTCAAACTGATAATATTCTCTTGCAAAATCAATATTCATATAAGAAAAGATTATATTTGTGCTACAATTTAATTCAAAGAAAAATACTTCTCCTTAAATTTTTTGTTTATAAATTATAACCCTACATTATATATATAAAATTTGGTTGCCCCCCGGCCGTGGGTTGCCCCAGCCCTGGGGTTTGGTAGGCTTACCCCAGGGCCGAGCCTGAAGATAGATCTTTAATCCTATCTAGTTCTCATGAAGTTATACAAAGAATCAAATACATAATCCTAACAAAGTTGTAAGCAACTTTAGAAGATACGTTGTCTGATTCCATTATGTTAACGTCAACGAATTGTTGCTATAGTTCTTTTCCAAGTTGAGCTACTAGCTAGCATAGACATCAACAGGATTATTTGAAGGATAAGTTATTTGACAATTTCAACTGTAAAGACTGCAATAAGTGCCAACTTAACAAGGAAAACCCTATAATAATTATGCAAGGGTTGGTCCTTCTCATCATAGATGACGAGGCATTTAATACATAAGACCGACCCAAACTCGAATCTGGAAGTGAGTCTCTTGCATTTTTAACCTTCTCGCAACTGTTAGAATGAATACTGAGGATTACAGAAAATAGAAAGCGGATTAACGATTAGACCAAAGGTCCATGGAGCTCCAACTCCTTTTTTTTTTTTTTTTAATTATATAAAATAAGAAGAAAAAAATGGAAAACATATGCTGCCTTCTTATTATATATTCTCAACCAGATCTATACCAACACTTAGCATCAGTTTGACAACTTCCCTAAGATCAGTTTTTTATCGGAAGAAAACAAAACCGGCCAGTTTATGAGTCACACTCCAATTTTTGCAAAACTAGGTTTAATTATTGGACCGATTTGTTTCAGTTTTAGGGGATCGAGTTGCCAAACAAGTTATTGTAGTACCCCCAACTGAACCAAGCCTTGACGACATACAGATCGATGGCTGATCTGAGAATCATTACTCTCGCTATTATTCGCTGAACACCAACATACAATAAATCACTTAACCTACCAAAGCTAGCCTCGTAGAGTTAAATGAAGTTGGCCCATTGACCTTGGATCCGTGTAACGCACTCCACACATCCTTGGTAGCTATAAATGGCACATGGCTGCCCTCATTGAAACCGGCCAGACATTGGCTTGAAAGGTTTTAGTACCGCGCACTCTCTAAGCCTCTTTCTTCTATTATTACTTTCGTGCACTGTGCACATTGACTCGATACTTAATTTGTGTCGTGCCATCCTTGTGCAAATATTGTCCTATATGACCAATTAGCTGTGATTCTAGGGTTAGATCAACCTAACAACTTAGGGTTTTGATTTCTGGAAGGAAAAAAAAAGCTTAAGCTTTCGAATAGTTTTGTTATCGATGGCGATCTACATCCATAACGTGAATTTCATATTTTATATGACATCAATGTGTTACAAAGTCATCTCCTGATATTTTAGTGTAATACGGAGAGACCCCTTATAGCTTATAGGTGTTGAATGCGCGCTTTCCATGTAATTATTGTAGATGATGAAATGTGTTAAAAATTTTCTTACTAAGTTTTTCTACGAGAAACCTGAGTACTAAAAAAAGAAGGCATCTCTTGTTAACTAGTTAGCTAAATAGACAGCAACCAATTTTTACATAGATCGTGAGAAAAATCTTGATCTTATATGCTAGAATATTAAAATATAATCCTCAACCTTTACTATAATTTCAGAGTTGTGGTGTAATGGTTAGATAGGCTTTGCTATGATTTCAGAGAACCTAGGTTCAAATCCCATTGTCCGTGAATTTAAAAAAGATTTTAAAAAAATTGATCTACCACCGCACGAGTCCAGATTTCGGCACATATAAAAAGGACGCTCAACATGCGGGGACATGTTAGAATTAAAAAATATAATCATCAACTCTCACCATAACTTCAGGGTTGTGGCATAATGATTAGAGGGACTTTGATATTACAATTAGTTAAGGAGTTTGCACGGGTATAACTTTGTTTTCTACAAAATGATCTTGTTGCATTTTTTTAAAAGTAGCGTTAATATTGTGTATAGCCCCTCTATACTATTGCGTATAGCATTCTTAAACTTACGATGTTTTAAGAAGTCTCATTACTAACACTCATCATTAGTTACTACTAAGTACATATAGTATTGACATCTGATACAAAGTAAAATCCAGCACGTACCATGATTACATTGTTCACTAATTTACAAAAGAACAGAAAAACAAAATTCTGAGAGCCTGAACATGGAATATGCATTTTCATCCTCTCATAATTATATAGAAAAAGTGATGAATAGTTCATAAATCCCGTCGACACAGTGGACAAGATGCATGTCTTATGAGCCAGCCATCAATGCAGGGCAGATGAAACTTATGCTGACAGTAAGGCAAACACCTCACCGTCTCTCCTATCTCAAAATCCTGAAAATATTATCAAAAATTTAATGTAACAATTGTATACTTCCATATATCACATAACTTAACTGCACCTACACCCGCTGCAGTGTCGTCGTTTTAAACTTACTACCCCTGTGCTTTTATTGTCACAGACAGACCCCTGGGTTAAAATTTATATAGACTCAATAATTTCACCCAGGGGATCGAAATATCTTCCAAAATTTCGCCAAGAGGGTTCATTTGCGACAATGGAACTGCAAGGGTAGTAAGTGCACAGAAATGATAGTACAGGGGGTCTACGTGCAATTAGATTGATACCAAATGACTAACCTGAAGGCAAACTACACAGAAAAGTCTCTCTCCCATGTCATCCACAATGTTTTGACAATTGATACTAATCTGCGGAATCTTATCTACTGATTCCTCTGTCAACCCTTTTGTACCGCCAGTATCAAAGATATCGATAGCTTCCATAAAAGGAGAGTCCACTGCACTCATCTGATTGAAAATCAACAAAAATTAATTTGTTGTGAATTCATACTGATTTCTAGAAATTTTCAGGTTTGAGAAGATTTGTTACCTGACTTTGTACTGCACTTCTCATGGCAGGGCCAACCTTCTCTCTAACTAGCCTCCCGCTTAACAGGCTACAAATTATGTCTACCTGCATCAAGTTGAATCAACATAAGATATAAATTATTGACCAAAGTTAATTAAAATTTAATCACTTAGAGCTTAGAACTTACCACATACAGAACACTCCATATCCCTGATTCATTTGAGTGCCATATAGCAATAGATGACTCAAAAGCCTCAATTGAGAACACTGCACCAGATATTGCACCAATTCCAGCTCCTCTTAGTGGACCACTTTCAGTTGCTAAGCCTATTAAGCCTCCAGTCACAGCTCCTACTGATGAACCAACTGCTCACGAATCATGGACTTTAGAAATACAAACAGAAATTGTATTTAAATACAGGCTTAATTTATGTGCTGAATATTCTAAATAAAAAAAAGGTACTGAATATGTTTATATATTCAAAATAGCTAACCTGCTGCAATGATGCAAGTGATGATGACATGAATGAGCCTTCCGGCTCTTTGGGCAAAGTTTGTATCACGATTTGAGACATGAGAAGAAGAAGAAGACGATGATGATGATAAAAATTGCGAAGAATTAGAGAAGGAGGTGTTCATTCTACTCTCAAGAGTTTCGTCGGAAGAATAGAAAATTGATAAGAGAGCACCAAGCACGTCCATGTTTTAAGTCTTGAAGCTGAAATGATGGGCTTACGTTGCAAAATATATAAAGGAGATTTACAAAGAGATGTAAGCTTGGGACCCACTAAGTGCATCACGTTGTTCTTTTTTTTTTCTTTGGACTCAATTCACTGTCGAATTCACCCGCCATTAATTGTTACGCTTGATTCTCACAGCCCATCTTATAAGCTTATCCACACTTTTGTAATGTAACTTCCTGTGTAGGACAAATAAATGGAGTGTCACAGAGGTGCAGAGGGGGGCCAAGTACCTTTTTTTCATTTGTGTAGAAAAACCTGGAGCCTGATATTTATAATAGTAAAAAAAAATTAATATTTACGGAGATAAGAAAACAATGGTCATGAAGGGATGCATTACTGTAAACCAGAATTTTGCGTAGATTGCTCCTGTTTCTACATAGCTGTAGGTGATCAGTAACTCCACCAAGCGTGATGTGCTCATTCTTGATATCACTTTCATCAGTTGAGACTTTTTGAGTTGAAAACTACTCGATGCTTAATTATATGTTCTTCACATACGAGCCAACAAATTACCGTGAACTTACTAGAGAGAGGGTTAGTTCTTAGGACGTCGTCGTAGAAATGATGAGAAGGGTGTAAAAGCAAAAGTTAAAGCGACCAACCCCACATTCAATTAATGCAGATTAGGCCCTCTAGAATAAATAAATCAGTTGTTCAGCCACAGAAGCTCTCCATATATACCTCTTTCTCTCTTACGATCTTCACCTTCCATTCCCTGCTTTCTTGCAGCCATTTGGACAAGAGTAACTATCAACTGTCAACCATCAAAATCTTAACAAATTACTTCAAAGGAAAGGGGGAGAGCACAGGGAATCCCCGTGTATCGGCCCCCTCGTCACTCCAAGTTGGAGAAAGCGGTGGAAAAAGAGGGCACATGGGGATTGCTGGTCCGTACAATTCTTTGACTGTTCATGGGTTTTTTCTAGATTTCACTGGCAAGAACGAGGCAGTAAAGGATAAACTACTAGCTCTACCTTGGATCCTATGCACCGAAACGATAACTTTAGTTACGAAAATATAGCTTTATCACTATATTTGCAAATGTATTTATCTGGCACATTGAAACAACTGACCCGTAATGTCACAGCACTGCAATTGCATTTCGCTTTAGTTATCGGCAGAACTTAGACCATATCCTTCAATTTTGGTTGCGGGTAATAGTAACTCCTGCATTTTTGTACATATACCAGACGTAACTATGATAATGTTTGTTGTATGTCTTTTTTTTTTTTTTTGCAAATTATGAATGTCTAAGAGAGTTTCTATGTGAATTAAGGTGTGATTTCAATTGGAACAAATTCAACTAGAGGTTAGGTTTAGATAGGCTATAGGTATGGGGAAAACTTTAAGACAGATGCCATGGAGGTTGGGTAAACGCTCTGTTTCACGAGTCCGTTGAAACCTATCTTATCCAGCTTGTACAAGCTCGGTTCCGGTCACCAATTGATGGCCTTATAGCCCACAACCACGGACCAGTTGAACATACACTGGATATGCAGTAAGTGGTTAAAATTTATTTATTGACAGCATGTTGCTCGGTTCTGTTAGAATTGGGGATGGAAACCAACCTCCGCCGGCGACGAGGAGCTCCGACGAGCTCGGAGATGACGCTGGCGAAGTCGACGGCGAACCCCCCAGGCGAGCTCGAGCCCCGCAAGTCGAAGACGCGACCCTCGAGCGAAACGCGACGCTGGCGAACGCCCACCTGACCCGCGCGTCCAAGCTCGTCGACCCGCGCGTTTGGGAGATGCCGACCCCCGCGTTCTTGACGACGCTCGCGTCCCACTTGTGCGCTGGTGACAGGCTGTCGTCAGAGCAATCAATTCCTCCTTTTCATCTGGGGGGAGACTGTCGCTGATGAATATAGGCTTTGGGTTGGCCTCGTTACCCATGTTAACTTGGACTATTTTATCTTCAGTGGGGGGTTCCCTCTGTTCGAACCTATCACCATACTGCATGTTCAGGTGATGAACCCACGGGTCTTCCCATGTTGGCATTTGATCGTCGTCTTCCATTGTGGACGGATCAGCTGTAGCCATGTTCGCCATTAGGGCTTTGAAAGCTTCCCCCAGACTGGTATCGGAATCCCATTCCGAGGAATCTGGCGAATTTCCATTCTTGTATTGCTTAGATGATTGGTCATTAATTAGCCAGCAGCATTCGTCTTCTGAAGAAGATTCATACCCTAACCCTCGTCCGTATTTATAATAATCATTGGGTCTCCCTTTTGGTACATATGCCGCTTTGGCTGGAACACGAGGACCTCGATCGAAGTATAGACCTTCTCCGAGTGTGAAATCATATCCCTGCTTTTCCATGAGTTTGCGCGCTTCTGGACTATACTTAGATAGATGCCGACCAGGTTTGTCATCATCCTCATCTTCCCTTCCGTAAATCACTTCTTTTGCGCCTCTTATTTTGTTCGGGATGACCATGGTTGTTCCGAAAGAATGCTGGAGGCATTCCTTTGTTATATAGGACGATCGAAGCGGCATATACAAATCAGGATTATTGTACAATTCTTTTATCACATTATCAAGAGACAGGGAGTACTCTAAATCGTTATTTATTTCATTATCGGCAAGTTGCCCGTTACAACTGTCCTCTGACGTTTGTTCATCGTCAAGGTTGATTACAAAGGGTATAATGTCGTTTAAAACATAACCTCCATTGTAATCAAATCCGGCTTCGGTATCAGCTTCTTCTCCGCTGTCCGTGCCATGGGTCGATGATTCAGTATCGGATTCGTTATCATAAAGGAGAGAATCAGTAAAATAATTCGCATACCCTTTGAATGGTTGCTTATCCGCGACCACCGTCCTAACCTTATTATCAGTGTCGACATACTTTAAACACTGATGGAGTGTGGAGGGAATTATAATATTACTATGGATACAAGGCCGACCCAATTGTAAGTTATATGAAGTTTCGGCATCCATCACATAACATGTGACTTCCGTCTTCAAATCACCCATTTGACACTTTATCCGGATTTTACCTAAAGGTCTTGACCCGCTGGTATTGAACCCGTAGATAACAGTGCCTGTGGACGCCAACTTGCTAACTGGAATACCGAGGAAATGCATCAAGCGAAGCGGCATAATACTCACAGCAGAACCCGGATCCACTTGGATTCGGTTGACTTTGCTGGAGCCAATGTACCCAATGAAGTATAGCGGTCGATCGTGGTTCGAATTCTTCGTCTGCATATCCTCTTTGGTGAAAGTAATGCAGGGAAGGTTCTTAGTCGCTATATTGCAATGTTGACTCAGCAGTTCCGGTTCTTCAGGCACCGGCTTGACTTGAGTCAGAAACACCTCTGAATTGGCCAACGCTTCTTGCAAGGCCTCCCTGGTTTCCTTAGACAACCGCAACAATTCATACAGCGTTATCCGTGCTGGAATGTTGGCTAGTTGAGCCATTATATCGAAGACTTGCGGAGTCTTCGAGCTTTTCGGTCTGTCTTTTCCAATCGGGCGACTGAAACGAGACTGCTTCGGATTCTGAACTTCCTGGGGATTCTTCTCTTTCGGTTTATTCACCGGCTGTCGTCGAACCTCTTCGCCCGGTGTAGGACTTGTAATCACCCCCATCTCCGTGAGAGTTTTGGCTGGTCCCCGTTTATTCACCCCCTGCTCACTAGGTGGTGGATAGTTGTAGTGATACTCATTTCCGCTTCGGGTCGCAAAAACTTCTTGTTCTTCTTCAGAGAGCGGGAAAGCTAGGATTCTTTCGTCATGGTTCAACCTACTTTGGGTGATGCGTTTTGTTCAAACCACGTGTGGGCACTGATCCAAAGACTGATTGAAACCGGTTTGCTCCAACATTCCTTTGGGACGGCTCAGGGTTATGAACTGCCTACATAAATTAGCGCCTGGATCTTGTCTTGAGATGGTAAGCATGACTTCGTAGGCGTGATGACCGCCTATGCGTGATGCACAAGTAACTTCGGATCCTCACTTTGCCTAGCCCCATTTCTTGCATCCAGCAATCGCGCTGGCAGCTAAATTTTGTTGCTTCTCCAACATTGTACTTAAAGATTCGGACTTTTTGTCATCTTTGAAGGAGTACACTGGTTTTGGGAAATCTTGGGCTCTGAAGACTTCTGTTCTAGGAGGCCGTTGTTGCCACTTGTAACTGCCCCGATTGTTGTGAGCGCTCGTTGCTGCTGCCGCTGCTGTTGTTGCTGAGGTTGCAATTGAAAGGTTTGATTAGCATCAACTGCATTAGCATGTGTCTTACCTTTCCCCCGTGGGACGGAATTCTGTTGCGGAGCATTATTCGCCTGTTGGCCTCTCTCCGCCTTCTTTCTTCTGAGAAATCGCTCGGCTTGCTCTCCTCGGACCTTCAGATCCTTCCATGTCTTGGACGGTGCTGTCCCCATTGCTTCCAACACGTCCAGTGCGAGGTTGTTGTGGCAAGTCTGGAGGATGAATTCCTCGGTGATCGGGTCCCGACAGTTCATCGCCTTGTTCCGGAACCTTTTGACGAAGGTGTCGACCAATTCCCCGTCCTTTTGTTTCTCGTCGAGCAACGTTCCGATGGATATCTCGGTGTCGTCGTCGAAGAAATTAGCGAGGAACTTAGTTTCCATGTCGTCCCAGCTACTCACGCTTCCTGGCTTGAGGCGGCGATACCAGTCGAAGGCGGCTCCACGAAGAGTGCCAACGAAGGACCGTACCATCAGAGGCTCATTACCAGAGATAACCCCCAGGTGTGATTTGAAGTAAATCAAATGTTGAGTGGGTGAACCCATCCCATTAAACGGCGTGAAGTTAATTAGGTTGAACTTTGCCGGATATGGGATTGATTCCCACTCTCTTGGGTATGGACAAGGAATGCCTGTTTTCTTCATCTCTTGAGCAGAAATCAACGTATTGATTTTGCTCTCGAGATTTTTAATCTTCAAGTTTTCACCTGTGTTTTCGCTAGCATTCTCATTACCACCCCCTGTATTGACGGGAGGATTATTGGCATTATGC